AGCCTAGGAGACAGTAGTAGCAGCAGCTTCCCCCTCCACCTTACCACCAGCAGCAGCAGCCCAGGCAGCCCCCACCACACCAGCAGCGGGTAGGAGGCTTGGCCCGCGTATACACTATCACCCATGATGAGGCAGCCAACAATGCAGGTACTATGTCAGGAATGCTTTCTATCTCCAACGTGTCTGTCTTTGCATTGTGTGATACCGGTGCTACACATTCTTTTATCTCTTCTTGATGCCTTGAGACACTATCTGTTAGCAATTTGAGCAAAGTAGATCCTCTCGAGGTCAGCCTAGCCTCGGGGAAGATTATTAATTCTGATTCTGTGGTTCGTAACCTTCATATTAATATCGGTGGTCGAGTTCTGGAGGCCGACGTGTATGTTATCGAAATGCGGGACTTCGATGTGATCTTGGGCATGGACTGGCTCACTCGCTATCGAGCTGATATCTGGTGCCAGGAGCGCGAAGTCACTCTTTTTCCCATTTCTGATCAGTCTGTCGTGTTTTATGGGGTGAAGTCGAGGACTGTGCCTCGAGTCATCTCTTCTATGCAAGCTAGGAAGAGCCTTTCCAAGGGTAGCTGTCAAGGCTATCTCGTATCTATGGTATCCGAGGACGACTCTGAGAGGTCCCCGGAGAGAGTCTCTATCGTCTGTGAGTATCTCGACGTCTTTCCCGATGAGTTGCCTGGAGGACTACCCGATCGCCAAGTTGAGTTCACCATTGACTTAGTACCGGGAGCTGACCCCGTGTCTAAGGCCCCTTACCGTATTGCACCGAAGGAGCTTCAAGAGCTCAAGGCCCAGATCCAGGAGTTGCTCAAGCTCGGTTTTATTCGACCGAGTGTTTCGCCGTGGGGTGCGCCCATCCTATTCGTGAAGAAAAGAGACGGATCGATGCGCATGTGCATTGACTATCGGGAGTCGAATACCCTTACAGTCAAGAACAAGTACCCCCTTCCTCGCATCGAGGATCTCTTCGACCAGCTGAGGAGAGCCAGCGTCTTCTCGAAGACTGACTTGCGTTCTGGCTATCATCAGCTGAAGATCCGGGAGTCGGATATTTCTCAGACTGCCTTTCGTACCCATTACAGCCACTACGAGTTTGTGGTAATGCCATTCGGACTCAGCAATGCCCCAGCCGTCTTTATGGACCTTATGAACCGGGTCTTCCATCCTTTCTTGGACCAGTTCGTCATTATGTTTATCGACGACATTCTGGTCTACTCCCGAGACATCGACTAGTACAAGGAGTATCTGAGGATTGTGCTGGAAACCCTTTGCCGCGAGAAACTGTATGCCAAATTCTCGAAGTGCGAGTTCTGGCTAGACCGTGAGGCATTCCTTGGCCACATTGTGACGGCTAGAGGCATTGAGGTGGATCCCAGCAAGATCGAGGCAGTGTGCAAGTGGGAGACACCAAGAAGTGCCGCTGACGATCGTAGTTTTCTGGGGTTAGCAGGATACTACAAGAGGTTTATCGAGGGCTTCTCGAAGATAGCCCAGCCGCTAACCAACCTTACGAAGAAGACCGTGAGGTTCGATTGGAGTCCTAAGTGCGAGGAGAGTTTCCAGGTGTTGAAGAGGAGACTCAGTACCGCGTATGTCCTATCCATACCCGACCCTACTTTGGAGTTCACCATCTATAGTAATGCTTCGAAGATGGGTTTGGGATGCGTCCTTATGCAGCAAGGGAGGGTCGTAGCCTATAACTCGAGGCAGCTGAAGCCTCACGAACAGAACTACCCCACTCATGTTCTCGAGTTAGCTGCAGTTGTCCACGCCTTGAAGATATGGCGTCACTACCTCTATGGAGGTAAGTGTGAGATATTTACCGACCACAAGAGCCTAAAGTACATTTTCACTCAGAAGGAGCTGAACATGCGGTAGCGTAGGTGGTTGAAGTTGGTCAAGGATTACGACTAAACAATTAGCTAGCATCTTGAGAAAGCTAATGTGGTAGCCGATGCCCTTAATCGGAGGAGTTATGGCCAGTTGTCTTGCTTATTCACCGAGCAAGATGTTCTTCTTCGAGAGTTCGAGCGACTACAGCGAGAGGTAGTGGAGTCGACTTCAGCAGTCGGGGGTATGTTGACCGCCTTGGTTGTGGGACCGACTCTTCGTGAGAGGATAGTCGCCGAGCAGCCGAATGGCCGTTTACTATGCCGAATGAGGGAGGTGTCGGAAGCCGGTAGAGTTGGAGGATTCGCAGTCACATCTGATGGGGCCTTGGTCTTCGAGGGTAGACTTTGTGTCCCGAAGGTGTGGGAACTGCGAAGGGAGATTCTGAGAGAGGCCCATAGTGCCCCGTACACCATCCATCCTGGTAGAACGAAGATGTATCAGGACTTGAGGAAGTCTTTCTGGTGGCGAGGCATGAAGAGGCAGGTAGCGAAGTTTGTGTATGGGTGTCTGGTGTGTCAGCAAGTGAAGGCTGAGCACCAGAAACCGAGAGGGTTGTTGCAGCCCCTTGAGGTTCCCATGTGGAAGTGGGAGTGCATCACGATGGATTTCTTGGTGGGACTACCGAGAGCGAGAGGCGGGCATGATTCGATTTGGGTAATAGTGGATCGCCTTACGAAGTCTGCCCACTTTCTGCCAGTCCAGACGACCATGAAGGCGAGTGATTATGCCGAATTGTTCGTCAAGGATATTGTAAAGCTTCATGGGGTGCCCGTGGAGATAGTGTCTGATCGAGATCCTAAGTTCACCTGCCAGTTCTGGAAAACATTGCACCGAGCCATGAGGACGAGGTTGGAGTTCAGTACAGCCTTTCACCCCGAGACTGATGGTCACTTGGAGCGTACGATCTAGTACTTGGAGGATATACTGAGAGTTGTGGTCTTGGACAGGAGCCTGACTTGGGAGTATGCCCTTCCGCTAGTCAAGTTGACCTACAACAACATCTACCACTCTTCGATCAAGATGGCCCCGTACGAGGCTTTGTACGGACGTAAGGTCCGGAATCCTATGTATTGGGATGAGGTTAGAGAGAGGAGGATTATGGGTCCGAAGTTTGTCCAGAGTACTGCGGCGACAGTCGAGGAGATCCGGAAGACTATCAGGGCTGCCCAGGAGAGGCAGAAGGTCTATACCGACCGGAAGAGGCAAGAGCATGTGTAGAAAGTTGGAGATCATGTCTTCTTGATGGTTTCACCTGTGAGAGGTATGATTCGCTTCGGGAAGAAGGGGGAACTTTGACCTCGTTATATCGGGCCATTTGAGATTCTTGCTTGAGTCGGGGACTTGGCGTACCGGCTGGCTTTACCACCAGGCTTGTCGGGAGTGCACGATGTATTTCATGTCTCGATGCTTCGGAGATATGTGCATAATCCTGATCATGTGGTGGACTTCGGCGAGCTGCAGGCCGAGCGAGACCTTAGGTATCGGTAGCCATCTTGGACCGGAAGGTCCATCAGCTGAGGAACCGGGCAGTGAGTTTGGTGAAGGTGCGTTGGAGCCTGCACGACGAGTCGGAGGCGACTTGGGAAAAAGAGGCCGAGATTAGGAGGCGTTATCCGAACTTTGAGTTTTGAGTTCCCCTTTGTATTTTATTGCTTTCTAGTTTTATTTTCGAATTCTGAGGACGAAATTCTTTGTAAGGTGGATAGACTGTAACGCCCCGCTTGAATAAGAATTATTTTAGATTTATTTGGATTTATTCTTATTATTAATTGCCTAGTTATACTAATGTTATTATTATTATTATTATTATTATTATTATTATTATTATTATTATTTTTTTATTATTATTACTATTATTATAATTATTATTATGTATTTATTTGTCTAATTGCTTAAATGATATATTTACTTAAATGTGTTTAATTGTGTATTATTAATACAATAATAAAATGTGAATTATAAATGTATGTATATTTCGTTCGGTTATCATTTTTATTGTCGTGAGATTTAACCGAGTCCAAGAACCCGCGAGCGTCTAACGGTCTGAACCGGCCAGCGAAGCCGAACCAGATTTCTCTTTCCCGTGGATGTTGTTGGAACCCACGAGGATCTCGATATGCACAAATCACAGACAAACATTCAA